GATACTATTCTTCAAATGTGGACCGATCCTCAATAATGCATAGGTATATTTATGAGAGTGACACTATGTCTATRTCGCAAATTAGGATGACTCGAACGTGTTTCAAAAAGTTGTGTGCCATGGTTGAAACATAYRGAGGGTTAAGAAYAACTAGGTTTATGAATATTGAAGAACAAGKTGCCATGTTTCTTCATATTATTGCCCACAATGTTAAGAATCGGGTTATGATATGTCGTTTTCATCGTTCGGGAGAAACAATTAGTAGAGTTGTTGCTCGAGTKTGCGATGCCGTAATAAGGTTTCATCCACGATTGCTTAAGAAACCTGAACCTGTTCCCRATAACTCTACCGATCAAAGATGGAAATGGTTTAAGGTATTTCCACTTTTTTTTTTAAAATTTACTTATTTCTAAATAAGTCTAATTATTATGAAAATATAATGATATTCTTTTTCTTGGTTCTAGAATTGTCTAGGAGCTTTAGATGGAACCTACATAAAATGTATAGTTCCAAAAGAATACAAACCTAGATATAGAACAAGAAAAAATGAAATAGCGACAAACGTGCTAGGGGTGTGCTCACAAGATATGCAATTTATATATGTTTTACCGGGATTGGAGGGGTCGGCTGCTGATGGTCGAGTGCTTCGAGATGCTCTTCTTAGGCCTCATGGATTAAAAGTTCCAAGACCGGGTACATTTTTCGATAGTTTACTATATATTAACAAGTTAAGTTTTGATAGTTTATTAACTTAATTTATTACTAGGTTATTACTTAGTTGATGCCGGATACACAAATGGAGAGAGTTTCTTAGCTCCTTATAGGGGTCAAAGATATCATTTAAATGATTGGCGTGATGGACACCAACCAACCACTGCCAAAGAATTTTTCAATATGAAGCATWCATCGGCGAGAAATGTTATTGAACGATGTTTCGGTATGTTGAAGGCAAGATGGGCAATCTTACGAGATAACTCGTATTATCCAATTGAACAAAAAGCTAGGATCATCATGGCATGTTGTCTCCTCCACAATTTTATAATGCAAGAAATGCCAGTAAATCCACTTGACAATGACGGTGAAGTGGATGAGGGAACCGGAGACCATGGAGYMGAAGACGGAGATAATATAAATGTTGTTGGTACTTCAAATGAGTGGACGTCATTTAGGGACAATTTAGCACAATCTATGTTTGCTTCTTGGAATGCTACCAATTAATTTGTATGATTCAAATGTTTGTTTAACTCATCCTTTTAATGTTTGTTTAACTCATACTTTCCATGTTTGTTGAAATCTAATGTTTGTTTTGTAATAGAAATTATGGAGTTTGGACATGGATAATTAAATGTCGTTATACTTTTGATTCATTTATGTTTGTAGGTATGACGAGTCAAAATAGAAATTATCGAGTTTGGACGAATATTGAAGAAACAAAACTCGTTGAAGCTTTAGTTACTATGGTGAATACGGGAGCATTTAAAGCCGATAATGGCTTTAAATCGGGTTATTTAACATTTCTTGAACAATCGTTAAAATAATCTTTGCTGGGCTCCGGGATTTTAGGGAAACCACACATCGAATCAAAGTTAAAAATAATGAAGAAAGATTGGACTGTTGTGCATGACATGATAAATGGTTCATATACTAGTGGCTTCGGATACGATAGTGTGAAGCATTGTGTCGTTGCGGAAGACCAAGTTTGGGAGTCGTATCTTCAGGTACATGCTAAAAAGAACTTGCTATTTATATTTGCATAATATATAATCATAGTTATATGTATATTTATGTTATTCTATTATGAAATAGGTCCATAAAGGGGCGGGAAAATGGAAGAACAAACCGTATCCTTTTTATGAGGATCTTTGTTTTGTATTTGGAAAAGATCGTGCCACAGGAAATAGAGCAAGAGATTTTGTTGATGCGGAACAGGAGGCTCGTACAGAAGATCAAACACAACACATGAATGACGAGTTCGATGACGTAATGGCAACTAGCAATGTACAAGGTGAGAATGCAAATATGCAATCTGAAGAAACTTCAACCGCGCGTCGTAAGAAGAGAAAACGTCGAGTAGATCCCATGGCTGACAGATTTAGTAATGCGGTAACTAAACTTGGAGAAACTTTGGAGAAAATGGCGAACAAACTAACCAGGGGTGTAGAACGAGAAGACGAACTTGATAAGAAACGTTCGCTGTTCACTTCTGAGATATCAAAAATGCAAACGTTGGCCCAACGAGAGAAGTTTAAAGCAATTTCATTGATAAGAGACGACCCTGAAAAGGTGAACACATTTTGGGATTTGCAAGAAGCGGATTGGGAAGCTTATGTCAGTTGGGTTTTAAATGAATGAAAATTTAGGTAGGTAAATGTGTGGTTTTGAAAGAACAAGTTGGTAGTTAAATTTGTATTTTGGATTAACGAGTTTGGTGGTTAAATATGTATTTTGGATGAAAATGTTTGTTGATTAAATATGTATTTTGGATGAAAATGTTTGTTGATTAAATATGTATTTTGGATGAAAATGTTTGATTGTTAAATTTTTAAGTTTGTTGGTTAAATAGATAGGTTTAATAAAATGAAAGAGATTTGATGATTAAAATAATTTAAATTTTTTTTTGAATCCAAATCCAAATCCTACAAACCAAACACAAGAATGGATTTCAAATCCAATCCAAATCTTGCAAACCAAACACAGGAATGAATTTTAAATCCAATCCAATCCAAATCCCATAGAATCCAAATCCCTCCTGGAAATCCAAATCACTCAGAAACATTCCTGCAAACCAAACGCACCCTAATTATATTCACTGATAACTTGAGAAAAAAAAGAATGTAGAATGGTTATTCAAAACACGTGTAATACCCGTGTTTTTGTGGTTAATAGTCTCCAGACATTATTGAATGTTTGTGACAATTTAAATCTAGGGTCTTGGTTGAGTTGGGATGAATAAAAAGTGTGTGAAAAACCATCAGGAACAACAAGTGTGGTGCCTAGTTGGTTTGAGCTTAGGATCCCAAGGTCAAAAGTGCTTGGAGGTCCCAGGTTTAAATCCAAGGAGAAATAAAATTCCCCTTGTGGTCATGGAGGTTCAAATATGGTGACTCTAGAGCACCGACAAAACAAGTTGTCGTTCTGGGATTAGTCGGCTCGCATAGCGGGTTGGATATCCAGGTTAATAAAAAAAACCATTTAGGACATTAAGAGACCTCCTATGCAAACTTGATCACACGAGAAGTCACAAAACAACTTAAAAACACAAAAGTAAACTGCCAACCTGGTTGTCGAGCGACTTAACTCGCTTCACAAGTTGATTGTGATGCTGGAAAGCTGATTTTTGTATTTGGGCGACTTTTCAAGCGACTTAAGTCGCTTCACAAGTTGCCAAAAGCCTTTGGATGCTTAAAAAGTCTGATTTTCAGGGTTTTCCTTCATTTGGTCATAACTTCTTCATTTCTTATCCGATTTGAGTGATTATTGAGGCTATGGTTTTGGTTTTTGAAGCTTTTTGAGGGGAGAAAAAAGAGGGTTAAAGTTTCATTGTTGATTTGTGACTCCTAGAAGTTGAAAGATAAACTTCTAACCTATCATCCTTTGGTTTGGTTCTTTTCGCCCTCAAACCTCGTTCTTTTCTTAGGTATCTTTGTGTATGATTTGGGAGTAAAGGAGGCGTTCTTGAGAGCTTTATGAAGTTTAAGGTTTGGTATGGAACCTAAATTTAGCATAAATCTAACAAGGTGAATTCAAGTTGTTTTGTTAAAACCATGTAAAATGCCTCCATTTGTTTTTTTTTTGACATGTTGATAAATAAATCATAAAAGAAGATATGGATAGTTTATGAGAAAACAGAGATAGATTTTCAACAGTCATATGTCCCCCTAACTTCCGGTTTGATTCAGGTTTTTTCTGGGAAAATCGTGGAACCAAGAACCAAAAAACCGAAACTCGAAATTGTAGTGAAATTAGAACCGATGACCAAACCGATTACATGCATATGGTTCGGTTTCGGTTCATTACCGATTCGGGTCGGGAATTCGGTCCTCGAGTCTCATCCCTGGTGCTCCATGCCACCATATTGGTCTATGTAGGTGCACTCCTGATTACATGAAATGTTTTCTTCTAGTTTTGATTTTTGAGCTTAAATCAAGGGCTTTAACCTCTAATCCGCACATCACACCCCTATTCATCTGCATATTGAGAGTGTGTAGACGAAACATAGGAAGAGGGAAGAACATTACGTTGTCGACCAAATCTATAAAAAAGACACTGGCATACCGCTCAGACCTGTGGAAAATAGGTAGAGGGAAGAACATCACTTGATTCGACAACAAAGTTTTGTAGTTTACACCGAACAGAGGAAGACAAATAATATTACTAGATCTGAACAATGAACGAAGAAAGACAAATGATTGGGAGAGTGAGTTCAATGTGAAGATGAATCGGTTGTAGAAGAATGAGGAGGTAAAAAGCAAGAATCTTGATTTTTTTAAAAAAATAAAAATAAATTATATTAAAGAAATAATAAAAATTGACATTTGGTAATCCATGTAATACAAGTATACGACGATCCATGTTATCTGATACTGCCTGATCGATAGATAACTGATTAAAATATGTATTAAATACGAATAATAATAAAAGCTTGTTACATTAATTGAAAAAAAGAAAACGTCCTTACATTTAGGGGGTGTTTGGGATTGCTTATTTGAAATAACTTATGTTTTTTTACAAAAGTCCTTATCAACTTATTATAAGTTAGAATTGTTTAACTTATTCAAAAACTTTTTATTATCAGTTTGACACCGGTATAAGTTGTTTATCCAAACACTCAAAAATACTTATTACCGATATTACACCTAAATAAGTCAATAAATTGTTTTTTATAAGCAATCAAAACATCCACTTAATAAAAATTATACTAAATTTTGTTGTATTTAGATTATTTTCCATTTTGTTGCCGATCCGACCCGGCTCTTGTGATTGGGTGATTTCAGATGGATAAACCCTAACAAAACCCTAAAGCCTTCGCAGAAGCCTAGAACCTTCCACCAGCAATCTTGAAATCCCCATCTCCTAGAGAACTTAACTGCCAAAATCTCACTCTCCGAATCGATCCATCCAACAATGGCAAAGCGTCTGATTCCATGCCTAAACAGAGTGTTGGTGGAGAAGATTGTCCCTCCGTCCAAAACCACCGCTGGTATTCTTCTCCCTGAGAAATCTTCCAAGGTATTTTTCACCTTCTCTCCCGTTTGATTTACGGTTGGGTTCGTTTTTCATTCCGCAGCTCGCTAATTTTGTGATTTGGTGTTGTAGTTGAATTCCGGGAAAGTGGTTGCTGTTGGTCCAGGAACTCGTGATAACTCCGGGAATACGATTCCGGTAGCCGTTAAGGAAGGAGACACTGTCTTGTTGCCTGAATATGGTGGCATGGAAGTAAAGCTCGGTGAAAAAGAGTACGTTTTCCCTCTTTTTTCCTATTTGTATATGCGTGGTATGAATACCATTGTTGGCATGTGATTGATCGATTGATCATTATAAAGTGAAGAAATTAGAAACTGATTCTATTGATATGTGGCTGTTGGGAAAGGTATTTGATTGGATTTATGCTCCTGTAAGCTGAGGTATCATAGTTGTTTGAGGCGATATTTGATGGATTTGGAAGCTTGAGATGACCCCTTATCCATTCGTGCCATAGTGTTAGAACGATAGTCCTTAGATAAGCATCCTTTTGGCTTTAATTAAACCCTCAGTTGTCCATGGTTTCCCAAAAAAAGGTCTCTGCAGATGGTATATAACTTGTAGGCTAAGTTGTGGCCATGATTTTGCCAGATTTTGGAAGGTCGTGTTGGTTTAAGGACCAAATGTTCTTGTTCGAGTTGAAATTTAGATTCGAACGTATAGGATCTAGAGTGACTACTGATTTCAAAAACTATGAAGTGTGAATAAAATCAAACCTTAGGTTCACTGTAAGTTTTTTGTAAAATAATTTAGTTAAAACTCATATTTTGGTTATAGTGATATCAATGGTTTTATAATTTTGGACATTATGGAGACTTTTGTGCAGTTTCCTTGATAATGATATCATTACTAGGGATACCGAACCGGTTGGTACCGATTTTTATGGGACTCAAAACTAGGACCGAAAACCGAACCGTATGTACAATTTCGGTACCGTTCGGTAAGGAAAATCGGTACTAGGACTACTTAGGACCGAAATATGAAAGTGGGTTAAGAAACAACCAAAAGTTTATGATATTTCAAATGTGTATCAAAACCAATCGTGAAAGTGCATAAATCAAAAGTACATAATGTTTGAAAATCTTTCACATGTGTATCAAGACCAATCGCAAAAATTAGTTTATGATTGACAAACATAATCTAAACCTTGTGGTATATAAAAACTTACTTGAGTTTCATCCATGGAGTTGCCGATTATTTTGATGGTGATAGGGCCGATTTTTTGAGGTGCTCGAATTTTTTGATCAAAATAATAGGGCCGAATTATTTGATCAAATTGGAGAAGATATGAATAGTTATGGAGAAGATATGGATAGTCTAGGAGAAAATATGGTTAGCTTGGGAGAAGATATGGATAGTTTAGTAGAAAATAGAGATGAAATTTTAATAGTCATGTGTCCCCTTAAATTTTGGTTTGGTTAGGGTTTTTTTGGGGAAAATCTTGGAAATGGGAACTGAAAAATCGAATTCTGAATTTGTTGTAAAATTGGAACCATTAACCGAACCATTACATGCATATGGCTCGGTTTTGGTCCGGTTTTGATTCAGGAATATGGTCCTCGAGTCTCATCCCTAATCATTACCCTGTCCAAATTTTTATCGAGTGGATTGTTTTGATGGCATGACACGAAAATTAAGTTTCTAACTCTTATACCTTCCTCACATACACACGTGATGCAACGTATGAATCCAGTTAGTTCTGTTAACTTTATGATAGATGATGATGATAATGCCACCATTGCAATGGAAAATAAATTGTGGTGAGTAGATTGTTCAACATTATAACCACGATAATCCAATTGTTGATATTAAGAAAAAAATGACGACCCAAATATGGGTTGTGTCGTTATGTAATATGGATGTATACCAAACACAAAAATATAAGCATTTCAATGCTGTATACACGAAAAAACATTTCATTGTGTTGTTAGTTGTTTGCTGTGACTTCACAAGATACCAACAAATAACATGTCCTCTTTATGTGTCTATCAGTAAGCAAATCATATTTGATTTCACCAATACAAGTGTGATTTGGTATGGTGGGAAATCAAACAGGATTGCATTTGCAATTGGAATTACATTTCGCTAATTGATTCACCTTCTTTGGGTCATGAAATTGAACAAAAGTGTCAGATAGACAAACCGTGCCATTAGTCTGTAAAGTTTGTTGAATATTGGCTCTGTATACATGTGCCTTCTTTACATTCCATCAAATGTACTTCCCTTTTCACAAAATCTCGGAATTTTTTTCTACGAAATCTTTTTAAAGCTATTTGGTCCTTGGAGTGTTGGTAACCATGGAGATTTATTTGGTTTGCTTGGTTTGGTGTTTAAAAGTACTTGGTGGTGTTTGGCGCAGGTATCATCTCTTCAGGGATGAAGACATTTTGGGAACTCTGCACGACTGATTTGAGTGTTTTGTAAGAGAATCTGGTTTGGCTGTCACTGAAGCCTTGACTGTGAGTTGTGTAAGATTACCAACTCAAACTTTCCGAATGAAACAACATTAATTAAATTGCCTTGATGAAGTATGTCATTTATTGGAGCTTGATTAGCAAATACTTGTTAAGGTTATAATCTTTTTCTGAGCAACTGCATCTATGGTATTATAAGGAAATCATACATTTTTAAAAAACAGTTGTATTAAGTAATCTTGATTCTCATTATGAATATCTATATCTATATCTATATCTATATCTATATGCTTAATCTCTGGTTTTAATATGAAAACTTATTGAAAGAAAATATAAAATATATACTTGAATGTTGAAACTAGAGCATGTCAGTTTAGTTTACTTAAAGAAAACCCATGAAACATCTAAAGAATTCCAAGTAGGGGATGATTACCAAAAACTTACTCAATAAGTGCTTACTTGTAAAATTTAACACTATTACTTACTTATCGGGTAAGATTTTAGTCCACCAAAACAACACCATATGCAATAATTTATCCGATAAGCTCTTACCATGGTAAGAGTTGTCGTCTTCACTTTCCGGGTAAGACTCTTGTTCCTTATTTCGTTTTTACCGGGTAAGATTATTGGTTCTTACCACATTCATCTGGTAAGGTAGTGTAACATGGTAAGTGCTTACGTGAGGAAGAGTTTGATAAACGGCCCCTAAATGGTATGCTGAGACTCTATACTTGTGAACATGTTTTCAAAATTGTCAAAGAAGGCTGCAATTATCAAAGAAGGTTGCATATACAATTTCAAATATTGTGGCCACATTTATTACAATTTAGATAATTGGAATTCGACGCCTGACTTTGAAGAATTAAGTTACATGCTTTCACAACAACTAAAATGTGCTTATAAAAGGGGAGGTTGATTCTTCATTTGCTGATCATCCCAAACACATCCTTTTTTCACAGAATACATATATACAAAATCCTTTGTATTGTATTTTTCTATTCCAACCTTGTAAACACTTCAACATATAGTGAATTGGTTCTCGGCTTCCTCCG